GTATGTAGACAAGGCTGGCTTCAAACTCACAGAGATCCGCCTGCCTCTGCCTCCCGAGTGCTGGGATTAAAGGTGTGCACCACCACACCAGGCCTTATACATTCATAAACATGGAACAAAAAGACACTGATGACTGAAAAGAACTTCAGATTCCATCTAGAAGTCAGATTGAGAACAGGCCTCACTATGTAGACCAGGCTGGCCTTGAACGCAGAGATCCGCCTGCCTCTGCCTCCTGAGTGCTGGGACTAGAGGCATGCACCACCACGCCTGGCACATCTTCATGATATTTTAAGAAAACAAAAAGGTTTAATAGATTCTTAGAAGCCTGGTGAGTAGGGACTTGATTTCTGACTTTGTCACAGGTTTTTGCTTTTGCCAGAGGGGAAACTAGAAAAGAGAACTCCACACACTGCTGGCTGGCAGAGTACCAAACCTGCATTGGCCATTTTTCCATGGCTGGAGTCTGGAAGTAGCCAGCCACAGTATGTGTTTTGTAAACTCAATGTGATGGTGCATTTCAGTAATCCCAGTGCTCAGGAAGCTGAGGCAGGAGGATCATGAGTTTTTGTCCGTCTAGCTTATGTAGCAAGACTCTGTCTGGGAAAACAAAACAAAACAAAACAAATATAAAGATAGGGCTACAGGTTAAGAAAACTGATAGATTAAGTACAAAAATTGAACTCCACTGGGCCTTTTTGTAGTGCTAGAGATGGAACCCAGGGCCTCCAGCATGCTAGGCTCTACCACTAGGCCACACCAGTGCCCACTTAAACAACAAAACTCTTATCATTCTTTAAGAGATAATAGGAAAGTATACAAATGAAATATTCATTCTCTCTTTCTCTCTCTCTCTGAGACAGAGTTTTGCTGTGTAGCTTAGGCTGGTCTGGGACTCATAGTCCAGACTGGAACGATCCTGCCCCCAGAGCTCTAGGACCACACCAGGCTAAGCCTACAGCTTGATGAACGTTCACAAAACAACCAGCTGAGACTAACCAGCGTCCTATCAACAAGCAGGACACGAACAGTATCCCTGAAGTTATGCTTATTTAATGAAACTAACATTAAAAAAAAAACCTTATTTTTTATTTTACGTGTATCAGTGTATTGCCTACATGTGGGTAACTGCACCCCAGTCGTGCGATTCCCGCAGAGGACAGAAGAAACTGTGGATCCCAGATCCCCTGGAACTGGAGTTACAGTTGTTAGCGGCCATGTGGGTGCTGGGATTCGAACCCGGTCTTCTGCAAGAACAGTGAGTGTGCTTAACCGCTGAGCCATCGTTCCAGCCCCGATACTACTATTTTTATGAGGTAAATCATATCGATGCCATTTTACACATGAGGGCCCTGAAGTTGCTAAGCACTGTTGAAACTACCATCTGAACCTGGATTTGCTGTCTGACTTAAAATCCATGCTCTAAGGAAGAACTTATCCTCAAAGCTAGAATTCCAGCTCCGCCCGGACCGGTGCACAGTGGGCGTCTCTATGGAAACTTTCCACCTTCAGAGCAACAGAAACCATGAGTCCCGCGCTTTTCTCCCTGCAAGCCCGTGATCCGCCACGCGGCCTCCCAACACAGGAGGGCGCTGTCGCAACTACTGTCCGAGCGAGTCCCTGTGAGTGTCGAGAGATTCTTAGGCCGGAAGGGCGAAAGAGCAAGGGTCACGTAGACGGCGCTCCCCGCCCCACTCGCCTAAGTTCTCGCGCGAGTTGCACTTCCGCCCTTTTGGCTCTCAGCGCGATACCATGGCGGTTGGCAAGAACAAGCGCCTGACGAAAGGCGGAAAGAAGGGAGCCAAGAAGAAAGTGTAAGTGGCGGCTCTCGCGGACTCCTGTTCTTTGAGTCCCACCGGAGTCGGCGGGCGGGTTCTCGGGCGCGGTGTGTGGCGGATGGCCGGGATGCTGGTCGGATTGCGCGGCGCGGCGCGGCGGCGGGCCGATACGTCCGGGCCGGCGGCTCGGTGGCCGCCCTTGGGTTCCGCGCGTGTCGCGTGCTGGCTGGGTGCTCCGAATGGTGTGGGCTCCTGTGTTGTCCAAGGTCGCGGCATTTGAATGCCCCTCCGAGAGCTGGAGGCCGGAACGTTACTGTAGTGGCCCTTTGGGGACCCTGCCCCTGGGGTGTGCGTGGGCCTCGTGGAACCTGGGAGCTCCCGACAGATTTTGGTACCAGTTCGTGCTTTCACGAACCGGTACGCCGGGAGACGTACAGGTTCCGGGAGGAAATGCTGTGGGGTGGAAGAGCTAGCTGTACACAGGCTCACCGCACGGTGCGGAGAGTCAGTACTGAGTACAAGTTAACCTAGAATCTCGGTTCGGAAAGTATGTCAACAGAAGGCTTAAGGGTAAGGAGAGTTTAAAATTTTGTAGTGATTGATGTGTTAAGAAACTTGAGCTAGTTTTTTTTTTTTTTTTCCTTTAATACAGGGTTGATCCATTTTCTAAGAAGGATTGGTATGATGTGAAAGCTCCAGCTATGTTCAACATTAGAAATATCGGAAAAACACTAGTGACAAGGACTCAAGGAACCAGTGAGTACTTTATAGTTTTGCATTGGCCTTTGTAACAGGTCTACTCTTCATCCTGTGATGGAGGACTTTATGGAAGTGTCATCTCTGGTACAGGTTTGGCATCTGGAGTACTTGCTTTTAAGTACAATGCTTTAGCCAACAAAGAAGTTGACTAGAAAATGTGTAGGAGGGTGCTGGCAATTAGTATCTAGGTGGATTTGGTAACAAGTTAACGAGACATTTGGTTCTTTCATAGAAATTGCGTCTGATGGCCTCAAGGGTCGTGTGTTTGAAGTGAGCCTTGCTGATCTACAGAATGATGAAGTTGCGTTTAGAAAGTTCAAGCTCATTACTGAGGATGTTCAGGGCAAAAACTGTCTGACTAACTTCCATGGCATGGATCTTACCCGGGACAAAATGTGTTCCATGGTCAAAAAATGGCAGGTGAGACCAAAAACTATATTTTAGCTTGTTACTGCATGACCAAGTGTGTGATCACAGGAAGGGACACAATGTAATGGGGAATTAAGATTCATTTCAAATCCTTGATTGGTTTTTGGTATTAAATGTCAGCCCTGAGTTGGGCACTTCTAAACGTAGACATCTGAGGCAGCCATGGCTTAAAGGTTTAAATTATACCCAGGATTGGTTTGCTTTTTGGGTTTTTTTTTTTTTTTTTGATGCTGGAGATAGGGCGTAATCGCCATCGACATGCTGAGTAAATGCACTTAACATTGAGCTATATCACCATCCCCAGAGGATTACTTATGAGCAGTTTGGCTTGTCTAAAGCGTATTTGGGAGTCTCAAGTTGCATTGAGTTTACAGTGAAAGGGTGGCTCTGGCTAGGCTAGTTTGATTGACAGCCTCTTGCAGAGCTATTTCTCCTTGGGAAATAACAAGTCTGAGTTGTGAAGAAGAAATAAAAGATGCAGGTAAATGCTTAGTAGCTCAGTGTCTGACACAGAAAGCACTCAGGAACTGGTGTCATTGCAGGACATACTTATATTCAGATGCATCTGGGTGACAGTGGTGGCACGTTTTGTTCATGGGAATGAATGATGACAAAATGTTTCAGTCCCAAATGATAAACACTGATTTTACCCTTACATTTATTTCTGACATTCCCTTAAAGTTTTATGTATTTCTGGAACTACTGAAGTGGTATGTATATTGATAATTTTTTTTTGGTGGTGCTAGATGTCAGGTATATTTTCAAACTAAGGTATATAATTTTTTTTGGTCTTTTTGAGACAGGAGCGCTAGCTGGCCTGGAACTCCCTATGTAGACCAGGTTAACCTTGAACTCACAGAAATCCACCTGCCTCTGCCTCCTGGGACCAAAGGTGTGCACCACCATGCCCGCCCAGCTAGGAATTTATTTTCATGTGCAGTTGTTACAGTAGGACTTCACCTGTTTGGCCACTTTCTCTTTTTCCTTTTTAATTTTAAATTAAAATTGTTTTTTTAAATGTGTATGAGTGTATTGCCTAGACAGGGTGTCTGACCTGTGCCAGCCTGGTACTTGCTAATGTAGACCTAGTAGTATGAACTTAAGATCTGCCTTTGCCTTTTAAGTGCAGGGATTGTAGGTGTGGGTCATACCTGGCTTGTATTTTGTTTGTTTTTTTTTTTTTTTTTTTTTTTTTTTTTTTTTTTGAGGAAGTCTCATTGTACCCCTGGCAGGCCTTGAACTTAGAGAGATCTGCCTGGCACTGCCTCTCATATGCAGTGTAAGAGGTGTGTGCCACCATGCTCAGCCTGTTATTTTTTAAAAATTATTTTATGTATATGAGTGTCATGTCTGCATGTAAATTTACTCATGTTGTGCAGTGCCCAAGGAGGGCAGAAGAGGGTTTTGTGTCCCCTGGAACTGGATGGTTGTTTAGCTGCTGTGTGGGTGCTGTAGTTGAGATGACAGTGGTGGGTTAAGAAATGAATTTTGGGGTATTTATATTATACTTTGTTACATAATGAGTTTGTCATTCCATGCCTTTGTTAGCATTTAAGGTGAAAATTGATTATTAAAAACTCATAGCAGCTTACAGTACCTTTTTTTTCTCTAGACAATGATTGAAGCGCACGTAGACGTCAAGACAACTGATGGTTACTTGCTTCGCTTGTTCTGTGTTGGTTTTACTAAAAAACGAAACAACCAGATACGAAAGACCTCCTATGCACAGCACCAACAGGTCCGCCAGATCCGGAAGAAAATGATGGAGATCATGACCCGAGAGGTGCAGACAAATGATTTGAAAGAAGTGGTTAATAAATTGTAAGTGTTTTTTATTTCCTCTTAACTTAACCCTGAGTGCCTGTTGAATCATCCCTCTTTTGAGGAAAAGCATACAAGGCAAGGTGGAGTTGGACTTTTCAGTCACTGATTATCTTTTTTGGTTGAAGCTGCCTTATAGCAGACAGTGAGACTTAGATGTTAATTTAAACATTGAATAATAGAAAAATAAACTTGCTATAATGAATGCATGAGAATATGTGATGAGAAAGTGTTTCGGTCCCAGATGATGCCCACTGGTAACTGTTACATTTTTCTGATGTTCTCATGCAGAATATAGGTGATGAAGATGATGTAATGCAAAAAAAGTGTAAGTAATTTAGGTCCCTTATAAAGGGACAATAAAGGTCTATCTTAATTAGGGTGCCTGAGTTAATGTGTAGATTTACTGTAAGGCTTTTTTTTTCTTTAGTCTTTTTGAGACAGGGTCTCCTCATAGCCAAAGAAAATGATTTATGTGAGGAACAAACTTTTGGTGGGTTTTTGTTTGATTTTTAACTAATTTGCTGGTGGTTTGCAGGATTCCTGACAGCATTGGAAAAGACATAGAAAAGACTTGCCAGTCTATTTATCCTCTGCATGATGTCTTTGTTAGAAAAGTAAAAATGCTGAAGAAACCCAAGTTTGAATGTAAGTGAGACATCGGGATTCATAAAAGGAAAAATGGGACCAAAATGTACTGGGGGGGATGCTTTTGAGACAGGGTGTCCCTGTCACCTCAGCTGGCCTGGAACTTGCCATGTAGATCAGACTGGCGTCGAAAGAACTCATAGAGATCCGCCTGCCCCTGCCTCCCAAGCTTTGGGATTGGTGCGCCACCATGCCCGGTAAAATGTACATTTTTAAAAACTGAAATGATAGACTACGTAGGGAAACTATGTAGCATTAAAGACCATTGTTTTATCTTTTAAGATTTTTTTTTTTTCTTTTTAGTGGGCAAACTCATGGAACTTCATGGTGAAGGTAGCAGTTCTGGAAAAGCAGCTGGTGATGAGACGGGAGCTAAAGTTGAACGAGCTGATGGCTATGAACCACCAGTCCAAGAATCTGTTTAAAATTCAGATTTTTAATAGTGACAAATAAAAAGTCCTATTTGTGATGGCTTGCTTCTGGGCAGTCCTTTAAAAATCTGTGGCATACTGTTTTGATGTGACCTCCTGAAGTATGGATATTTTGTATGGATTTTACCCATTAAGTAGTTAAAAGGTACTTATTATGCATTTCAAACTGCAGTGATCTGGAGGACAGTGAAAAGGAACCCTTGATTACATGTCCCACGGGTTTTTGTTCTGTTTTTAAATAGATGCTTATACATCACATGGCAAGCCAGAGACCTTGTTAGTTTTTTGGATGGTCATCTAGATTGCTTGTTGGGTCCTGTCCATAAGTTTCTAGCAGAATAGTTGTAGGCTGAGGCCAGAAAGTTACATTCCAGGTAAGTTGTCAGGTGGTGCTGATGGCTCAGACAACAGCTACTGTACTAGACTGGAGTGACAAGGGAAATAACTTTGGAGGGTTTGTGGTTGTAAGGGTAATTCAGATCACAGGCCCTTGGAAATGCTAAGTAACTTACTACTGATCTATACTTGCATTCTTTTTAAAAATTTTTTTTAGTTTTTATTTTTTGTCTTTCTAAGACAGGGTCTCCCTGTAGCCCCAGCTGGCCTGGAACTCACTATGTAGACCAGGCTGGCCTTGAACTCACAGAGATCCCGCCTGCCTCTGCCTCCCAAGTGCTGGGATTAAAGGCATGTGCCACCATGCCTTTTTTTTAATCTGATGCCCTTTCATAAAGTTGAGGGCGATGGATTTTCTGTAGATAACTTGGTTTCTTAATTTAAAAAAATATGTGTACGAGTGTGTTGCCTGCAGTGTGTGTAAAGTATGCTCATGTCATGCAGTGTCTGAGGAGGTCAGAAGAGGGCATTGGATCCCCTTGAACTGGAGATAACAGTTAGCTGCCCTATGGATGCTAGGATTTGAGCCTGGGTTCTCTGCAAGAGCAGCCAGTGCTCTTACTCATCTCTCCAGCCCCTGGTTTGTTTGTTTTAATTAAGCTTTTTTTTTTTTTTACCTTCTATTTTTATGCTATACCTTAGAAGGTTTATCTAGGTGTCTACCCAGTATCCCTGTGGGTATTTTGCATTTGACACCCTAAGATGACATTCTTTGTACCAAGAACAAAATGGGTACCTCGTGTATGCTAGGCAAGCAAGCACTACAGCTGAGCTATACCTCCAGCCCTAATATGTTGATATTTGAGATAAGGTCTTGCTTTAAAAGTGACCCAGTCTGGTCTACCAGTATCTCAGTGAGGAAGTGAATGCCCTTCCTACTAACAACTGGTTTAGTTTGTGGACTTGAGTCCCAAATAACCAGCTTTGTTCTGGGGCAGGTACAAGATGGAGTGCACACACTTACATGCAGGCAGTACACGCATACACACAAAATAAAAAATTTAAAAGTTTCTGGCAGTGAGGACCAGGAATTGACTTTGCATAAATGATTTTCATCTTAGTGCCTAGAGGTTGGGTATTAGTAAGATAGGGTTTAACCAGTAAATGTGCTGCACCTTTGAATAGGGACTTGGATAGCACTCCTGCAAAAGGGCTCATTTGAAGAAGGTTCCAAAAGGAATTCTCCAGAAGTACTGCCACCAGTTAGCATTTGGCGTGTGCTTACCCCATTCTTTGCTGCGCTCTTTATTGTAGTATATCAACACTGAGCAGTTACTCTGCTGCTTGTCTATATTTGGCCTCAGTGCTCTGCTTAGTGGTCACTAGTCTTAATGACTCCAGTTAATTATCTGGAGTTTGTTTTCTGGCAACCATATTCTTGAGGGATTTTTCACAGCAACAGTACTCAACAATTACATCTTAATTTTTCCATGTGCTTTATTTTGATTTCGAGACAGCAAAATCCTGTAGCCCCTACAGGCCTGGAACTCTGGACTAGGCTGGCCTCTTAACAGTGATCTGCCTCCTGAGTGCTGGAATTAAAGGTGTGTGTTACCATACCCAGCTTTTTTCCCATGTACTTTACATCTGAAAATTGGCTTCATGCATCCTTTTGAGACAGTCTCAGTGTAGCCAAGGCTATGGAGCTAATGCTGGGATTATGGGAATGCGCTACCAAATTTGGCTTGGAAATTAGTTGTTAGCTATAAATTCCTGGACTCTGGACATTGGTTTTTTGTTTTTATTTTTTTTGAGACAGGGTCTCCCTGCAGCCCAGACTGGCCTCGATCTCACAGAAATCCACCTGCCTCTGCTTCCAGAGTACTGGGATTAAAGGCCTTTTGAGCACACTTAGTGATTTTTCAACTATAAGGGTATGAGCAGTGTTAGATGGTTTTGTTCAATTGTGAGCTTCATCAAAATTGTCCTGACCATGTACATGTTTAAGGTAGGACAGGCTGGGTATGTTAATGCAGTATTCGCTTGAAATATTTAGGATGGGTTTATTGGGCTATAACTCCCATCGTAGGGCAAGGAGCATCTCATATAATTTCAAATTTTGGGGGTGAGGGTAGTAAGGTTTCCAAGTTATAGTTGGCATTTGTTCTTTTGATTTGGCTTTCTTTGTGAGGGAATTTGATTATGATCTAGAGTTCTCACTGTGGCCCAAGCTGGCCTAAAACTCAAGGTCCTTAACCTCCCAAGTGGCTGAGAATGTAGACATGCCATGCTACATCTAGAGATGGACATGCTTGGTTGGGCACTAAGGAAAGTTGGGGGGGGGGGTCGGTGGTAGAGGTAGGTGGAATTGCAAGACAGGGCTTACTGTGTAGCCCAGACTGGCTTCTGTTTGAATCCATGATCCTCTTGTCCTGAATTGCCGGGGTTACAGACAAGTGGCACTATGCTCAGGTAAAGTACTAATGGAACAAACTGCTGTCAGTTGCCACAAGTAGAGGTCAGTCAACAAGTGCATCTTTGTAGTGTCTAAAGGTTTTGCTATGTGGAAGATGCCCCATTTGACAAGCTACTAAATCAGATAAGCCTCAAGTGATTCCCACACTCACCAACAGCAGTGTTGATAGACTCCAATAAAAGTTGGTAAAGTCAGCACTTGATTCTTAAGACTGTGGGATATATGATTCTTAGTTCCTCTGACATTCAAGGAACAGCCTGTCTACAACCCATTACTCATCTAAACCCATAAGGAAGGCCAGCACTTTATTGGAGGCTTTAGATACTGGAAATAGTTTGAGAGACCTTGAAAGTCAAGTAAATGTGGCAGCTTATGTTGATTTTAAGTTTGTTTTTAATTATGTATATGTGTCTTGAGTATGTGCATGAGAACAGGTGCCGCACCTGGGAGCTGGTGTTGCAGGTGGCTGTGGGCTGCTCAATGCATGCTGTGAACTCGGCTCCTCTGCAAGAGCAGCACAAAACCACTAAGCCGTCTTCTGGACCTCTAATGTTGATTTTTTTTCTATAAAATGTTAGGTATGTCAACAAAATGGTTTTATTTTTGGTGCTGTTTTAGAGGTTTCAGCCCAGGACCAATTTATTGCTCTGAGTCCCTGGCATAGTAGAGTAGCAGAATAGGCCCTTTCCCCTCAGAGCTGTGTGCCACACAAGAGACCAGGGACCCACAATCATGAAGGGCATACCCCCCATGACCTAAAACCTCCCACTTGGCCTCACCTAAAAGCTCCCCCCTCTCCCAATAATTCTCTGGTCTGGGGAATCAGTTCTGCACATGGGCCTTTATAGAACCTTGATTCTCATCCCAGGGTTATAAATGGTATCTCACTGCTGTTAACATGTATTTAGGTTGCTGGTCTAATCTGATCATTATGTTTTTAGGTTATGAGTGTAGATCTTCATTCTGACTTATCAGGTGCTTTTTGTCACAAAGGCTACCCACAGTGCGCTCAAAGTGAGATCATTTGAATATTTTTTGCTCCCTGCCATACAGAAGTCTGACATTGCCTCTATTTTTTTGAGTCAGGGTCTGTAACCTGGATTGGCTTCAAAGTTGTGATCCTCCTCAGGCTTTTACTTGTGGGATTAAATGGTGTGCCCCTGTTCCCAGCTTTCTGATGCTGTTGAACATTAAGGAAGTTTCTACTGTTCTGCATACCTATTATGTAGCTGGGTTACAGATTAAGAAAGATTTTCTCACTACCTCCTGGGTAATAAGATCTGAGTGAAAGATGATTAGAGGAAAGTTACAGGTGGCACTAGGCGGCAGTGGGAGGGAGCAACAGCCTGGCACCTGGGGAGCACATTTGAAGCCCCAGGAGCCAGGGAAGA